GAGGATTAAGGTATAAAGGCCTCGGGGGATATTAACTATCTAATTCCTATAATAGGGTGGGGCCCTATTCCCCTTACCTACCGCCGGATATAGCAGGAACCTACCTAGGGGAGGTAGGAGGCGCCTGCCTCCCCTACTCTTTTTATTAACCGAGTAAAAGGAATAAAAGGCATAATCCCCGGGGATATAGGGAGACTAAGGCTAAAGGGCCGTGGCCTCCGCACCGCGGAGGCGTAATGGCACCCCCTCGGCCCCTACTCCGCTACTAATGATTAGCTTAGGCTAACCTACCTAACCACTAGCCTGCTATACTTCCCGTTAGCTATTAGCCTAAAGGTATAATCTAGATATACAGCAAAGACGAACCGGGGCTATATCGGCCCTATAACGGCACTACTCTACCTAAGGAAGTGTATAAGGGTTTTCCCCGGGTTTTACCCGGGTTTTACCCGGGTTTTCCCCCTCAGAGCCACCCGAGAAGAACCGTATAGCCTAGAAAGACTTCTATAGATTAGTTAGGATAGCGGAGTAAGATCGATAATAAAAATAGATTATAATACTTATTCCCTTTAAGTGCCTAGTTTATAGCGAGATATTAGAATAAGCGGCCGGTTTAATACTATACTTAGTCGGAGAAGTAAGTTCTATTACTTTATAAATAATAAAAGAAAAGACACTAACCTTCTACGGCTTTAAAGAGAAAACGTCTTTAGGTAGATAAGGAAAGTAAAGATACTAATCGTAGTCGATTATAAAGCCGTGCTATAATAGGAAGCCGATCTATTTTAAGATTACCTTTAGATTCTCCCGAAAACTTTAGGATCTTTAGTAGTGATAGTGGAAATTCGGATTCTCGAAATTCCTTAGTAAGGAGTGTAAGGAGTGTATTATTAAGCGGTATTCCTCCTAGACGCTCTCGAAGTTAGCGCCTAAACACACTAAATCTCTATTAGTAAGCTACTTAAGGTTAAGTTTATACTTTATAAACCTTATTATTAATTAAAGAGTAAACGCTTACTTTTAAGGAATATCGGCGCGAAATAGATTAAAAGGATTATAAATCGGAAGCGCGGATTATAAGGGAAAGAGAAAAAGCCGATTAGTATTTCTAATTATAGATAGCTAGGATTAAGCTAGAGAGAGAGCGGTTATATTATTTAGATTAGCAGAAATAAGTAGCGTAAGTAATATTAAGGAATACTTTAGTTATTAGAATCGTATTTTATTATTATCGTAGTAAAATAGTACTAAAGAGCTATTTTTTATAGTAAAAGAGAACTCCTTATATACTAAATAAGTATTATATAGCTATAAAAAAAAAGCTAATAGCCCGGAAACGTTTCCTATATACTTATTTACTCCTTATTATTAGGAGTAAAAACACGGGTTATCGTAACCCGATAATTATAAGGGAGGGGGGGGGGCGGGAGTCACGAACTCTATAAAATAGATTATTAGTAAATAAGATATAATTTTTAGATAAGCTACGAATATACCGGAGACTTCTTCGCTATCGGCTATATCCTTATACCGATATTTAGTCTAGACCGAGTAAAAATAGTTATAGGAAGGGGGGGGGTAGTTTAGGAAACGTTTCCTATTAGTCTACGATACTATAATAAGAAGTAAAGGTAATATACTACGGCTAATAGAGTTCTATTCTATATAAGAATAGTAACGGGTCTCGGGACCCTAACTAAAAGTATCTTACTTTATATAAAGTATATCTACTTAGGAAAGAAAATAGATTAGTAATAGTCCTTAAATTAATTCTGAATCGTTTCTTATATTTCCGTTATTATCCTTCGGCACCTTCCGGAGGAATAAATCTTTCATAATAGCTTTAGCTTTACGAGGAGTATTAAAAGGTGTGTTAACACTATAGACTAAATCGTATATAGCCTTATAACACTTTACGGCTTAAAGGTTATTATAAGAGTATAGGGACCTAAAGGCGTTAGGAGCTACTTAGATATAATAGGTGTAGAGGATATACTTCTTTAACGCGCCGATAAAGGAGAATTTCGACCACTAAGCAGAAATAACTTATTAGAATTAAGTAACTAACTTATAAAGATAGATTAACTTATATTAAAGTATATCTTACTATTTACCTCGAGGAAACGGTAGTATATCTCGCTTAGTGCTATAAAAACCCTACTAGCCTTCTAAGAGTATTAGTAATATATAAAGTAATATATTATATCCTAAACTTATATTATCGGTATCGTATTTAGAGAGCTTATCGGGATATTAGCCGCTATCTTCTCTAGTGGTATACTACTAGAACGTATATATCTTATGATAGTTTAAGGGTATATTATTAAAACACTTAATATTAACCTTAGAAAAATAGAAAAGTAGTTAGTTTATACTCGAGAAATAGTTTGGAAACGTTTCAGAAACGTTTCCGAATCGGTTCTAGTAATAATCTAAAAACGTACCTAATAGGTGTTAATGCTTTAAAGGAGATAATATAAAAGAATTAAAATATAGTAATAAATAAAGATAGTGATGCTTAAAAAACACACTTTATAAAAAACTAAAGTGGTGATACTATAGGAAAATAATAAAGTGGTGCTGCCTAGGAAAAAGAGGGGAAAACACGTTAACGTGTTACGACACGACTCGTGAAGGAAGGAGAAACGTTTCCCTAGCTTAACTAATCAGAAAGCAGACCTATAGTAACCCTCGGCATAACTTTTCCCAGCCACCCCCCACACCAACTATCAGCTTAGCCACAGGCTTCAATATCAGTTTACCTGTAGTCTCCGTAATATACGTGGGATAGTTGCTGCGTAAGGTAAGGCACCTTATGTAATGCGGTTCACTGCCCTGTAGCCCTGTATCCGTACCCGTACTTCGCACCATACCGGTACAACGTGCCTTATGTACCTTGTCTCAAATTTCTTGCCTTGACGCTTTGAGCATCAAGGACGCGACAAGTGCCATTGCCATTGCACCAACACCTCGCAATCTCCCAGTCATGGCAAATTCAGGTCAACTCTATGGTTCCGGTTCTAGCATTATCAGCACCTGTCGACTATTTCCTTTTGCCGTTATTTGCCACGATACGTCCGAGCACTTTACGAATAGAACGAATAGAACTTCTTTCCCTAAGCCATACCGGATTGTCGTTCTCTCCCTTCGTCCAGTCACGATGCCCCGATGCTACCCTACCACTTCTTTCGAATGGTCACGTTCATCGCCTCAACGGTCTCGCTGGACGACCAAGCGACATCCAAGCGCCCTAGATTTTGGCGTGCCCAAGTGCCTTTCTCCCCCGCATTTTGTCTGATGCCGAGCCGGAGCTACATTACCGTACCTGGAAGCCCCTCCATGAATTAAAGGTAGCTAGCTAAACAGCCCCAACCCGCATCTTCATCATCATCATCTGTTTTTACTCAAGTTTTATTCGCGCTAGACCTACGAAGTACGAGGCACGAGGTACGGAAAACACCTAGACCTGCAGCACGCATACAGTCTCGATGCCGATGACGACGTGCATCTGCATGTTCAACTCTCCACAGCCGAAAACAGTGTCATCTCCGGCGCAAAGACAACCAAAACGCAGTGATTCTTGCTAAGTGTCTTGTTTTCCTGTTCTCTCTCCTTGGTCGTCAATCCTGTTCAAATCCTAGCTCTGTCCTATTCTACCCTATACACTCCCGCAGGCACACCACCACAGCAGACACCCGATGCTCAATGCTCGATGCGGCATCTGAAGCTTGAAACGTTGCCATGTTTGCTCGCACCTTTCACCACCTGATGTAGACCTCGGCAGCAAGTCCGTCCTGCGCTGTTCCTGGCTCCTTTTCCCCTTGCCATAGTCCAGCAGGTCTTCGTCATCATGACCACTAATATCCTGCTGCCTCTTCATCAATTGTCCTCGAGGAGCTATTTTCGTCGGGCTTTCCTCGGCGTGTTGACTTTCCATTAACAGGCCTTGGCACCCAGTTCTTCATATCATGATCTCGATGGAATGCAATACCACCATGCACGTGTTTCTGACGGCCGGTTTTACTCGGTAGAGCCACCCCTGGATGTGATGTATTGGAACATTAAGCTGTCGATTTTGCGGTCGAATGGACCAAACAAAACAAACCAACAGAACAACAACAACAACAGCCTTGAGAAAAGAAAGGGGGGGGGGGAGAAGAAGAAGAAGAAGAAAGAGAAAGGAAAAAAAAAAAAGGCAAGCCACCACGAGAAAATCGACACTTGCCTCAGTAGAGCCACGGGCTCAACCTCTGCGTGAGGTGCAGCTACATTCACGCATAGGGTCATGTCCATCTCTCCACGAGCATACGCTCTTATACATATGCTCGTCTGCTATAGACCCTACCTGGATGCCTCTCTCCCGTGACTGACCCTACAGGAGCCCTCCTTGTAACCAAATCTCAAAGTTTCTCTCACCGGCAGTCAACGGTCCAATAGCAGAACTGTCTCTGACACATATTACAGAGCTTCGAGGAGGCATACTGCCGGAACAGAAGTGCATCTGAGTTCGAGGGAGCGAGAACTGGAACCTCAATGATTTAGCCACTGCGCGAATGACCAGGAACACGAACCTGACCAAGGTTGATCTTTTGACTTGACGCCTATGGATCTCCCGTCTACCGCGTGCATCTTCGATTGACCTGTCACACCCACCCTGCTCACGTCATGTGAAGTTGCAGAAAACTGGTCGAGTGCTCTTAAGCAGTGATACGCGACGGCAGATACAACGCCATGATGGTCCCCCGTTTGGACGGACCGTCGGAATATCAAATCTTTATATATCTATTACTCCCGACACCGCCGCGCGTAAGGGAGTTTCTGCTGCCACCGCCCTTCGTCGTCAAAAGCTAGCTGTGATATCTCGTAATCCGTCAGCCGGTGGATTCAAAACACAACACTGACCGTTTGGCCTCTGGCTTCTTTTCCGACCTAGTCCTGTTCCTCCCCCTTGCTCTGTCTGGGTTGCCCTTGGCCTTCCATTCTGCGGCCAAGTCCTCGTCATGGCGCCGATCGGAGAGACGGTCTGCACTGGCGTAGCTCTACTACTGGGCTGCTTTGTCGTTCAAAGTACCGGTAGTTATATTGGCCCGAGGCAGAGGGTACCCGACGAGTTCGTGGCCAAACCGCAGTACCCGACTCCTTATGGCGGCTGGGACCCCGACTGGGCGGATAGCTACGCCAGAGCCAAGGCTATTGTCGACGAGATGACACTGGCCGAGAAGACCAATATCACTTCTGGCACCGGCTTTTTCATGGGTATTGAGCAAGAACGAACAACTTCCGTTCATTGACCTGTGTCTCCGTACTAACGAGCATTCAGGGTATGTGCGGTACTTCTCTTCCGCCAGGACGGTTGGCGAAAACACTTGCTATGTCTTTCCGTGGAGTAGAAAGCTGATATGAAGTTTCACAGACGGTGCAATGGAAACACCGGAAGCGCCCTCCGAGTAGGCTTCCCCCAGCTCTGTCTGGGAGACGGGGCCACCGGTGTCAACCAGGCTGATAATATTACTGCGTTCCCTCCGGGCATCACGACTGGCGCCACCTGGGATAAAGAGCTCATCTATGCCCGTGCTGTTGCCATGGGCAAGGAGTTCCGCGGAAAAGGGGTGAACATCTGGCTCGGCCCCAGCGTAGGCCCTCTCGGACGGAAGCCCAAGGGAGGCCGGAACTGGGAGGGGTTTGGCTCCGACCCAGTCCTGCAGGCGAAGGCCGGTGCCCTGTCCATCAAGGGGGTCCAGGAGTCCGGGGTCATTGCCACCATCAAACATCTTATAGGAAACGAGCAGGAGATGTTCCGCATGTATAATCCAGTCCAACAGGGTCTGAGTGCCAATATCGGTGAGGGCCCCCTGAACCCCTGACGGACCGGGACTGGGACCAAAACTTTGTTTCGATTTCATGGATTTGATGGATGCTGACGAGCCTTTCAGATGACCGGACTTTGCACGAAATCTACCTTTGGCCCTTTGCTGATGGTTTACGAGCTGGATCAGGAGCCGTGATGACGGCCTATAACGCTGTGAGTTGACCAGCCGTGCCGCTTGTATTCCGGAACGGAGCCACAGCGCCCTCCCCACTGATCTTGACCACGGTCTAATAACGAGAATAGGTAAACGGCTCGGCCAGCGTCCAGAACAGCTATCTCATCAACGGAATATTGAAGAACGAGCTAGGGTTTCAAGGCTTTGTGATGTCTGACTGGTTCTCACACATGCCTGGAGGCTCGGCGATAGCCGGTCTTGACCTGAACATGCCCGGCGACGAACAGATCCCTTTTTTTGGAAAGAGTTATTGGATGTACGAACTGACACGTTTCGTTCTCAACGGATCCGTACCGATGGATCGACTAAACGACATGACAACCCGGCTTGTGGCGACTTGGCTCAAGTTTGGTCAGGATAAGGACTTCCCGTCGACGAATTTCCACATTTCTACCAATGAGGCTATTGGCGATTACTACCCTGCTGCATGGCCCTTCTCGCCCAGTGGAGTCGTGAACGAGTTTGTTCAAGTCCAGAACGACCACGACGTTGTCGCCAGGCAGGTCGCCCAAGACGCCATCACCATGCTGAAGAACAATGATAACCTTCTCCCGCTCTCGACCTCGCGTCCCCTCAAGGTTATTGGTTCCCACGCGCAGACAAACCCGGATGGTCCAAACGCGTGCCCTTTCAGGAGCTGCAACAAGGGCGTGCTTGGCATGGGTTGGGGCTCTGGAGTCGTGGACTATATGTACATTGATGATCCTATTTCCGCCATCCGGAGGAGAGCCGACAACGTCGAGTACTACCCCACCGACAGGATGCCTTCGGTTCCAGAGCCGACGGGTGACGATGTCGCCATCGTGTTCATCACATCTGACTCTGGAGAAAATAGCTTTACTGTCGAATGGAACCACGGAGATCGCAACTCGGATGGCCTCAACGCCTGGCACAATGGCGACAGATTGGTCAAGGACGCTTCCGCAAAGTACAGCAATGTCATCGTCGTGGTCCACACCGTCGGCCCCATTCTTGTGGAGGAGTGGATCAATCTTCCCAGCGTGAAGTCGGTCCTCTTCGCTCACCTCCCCGGCCAAGAAGCTGGTGATTCCCTGACCAACGTCCTCTTCGGGGACGTCTCCCCTTCCGGACATCTTCCCTACAGTATCACTTACAAGGAGTCGGACCTGCCCAGGAGCGTTACCGAACTTACAGGTTTCGCCTTCGGCCAGCCCCAGGATACGTTTTCAGAAGGCCTATACATCGACTATCGGTACCTCAACAAGAATGGCATCAAACCTCGATTCGCCTTCGGCTATGGTCTGTCATACACGGATTTCACCTTCACCAACGCCACCATCACGCCTGTAAACGAGCTGGCCGCAACCCCACCGCCCTCTCCCCCCCGTGCCCCTGTCCCGAATTACGCCCAACCCATACCCTCCTGGGAGGAAGCCGTCCCGCCCACTAATTTCTTCAAGATTCCGCGGTACCTGTACTCGTGGCTGTCTGAGTCGGACGCCCGCCGCGCCGTCCGCAGCCGAGAAGAGGGAAATACATACCCATACCCCGAAGGATACACGGCTGAACAGCCCGAGCCGTTCCCCGCCAGCGGCCCCTCGGGCGGCAACCCGAGACTGTGGGACGTCATGTTCAATGTATCGGTGACGGTAACCAACGCCGGGGACACGCATGCAGGCAAGGCGTCGGTGCAGGTATACGTCCAGTTCCCCGAGGGCGATGATGTGCCGGACACGCCCGTGATCCAGCTCCGTGACTTCGAGAAGACGACGAACCTGGAGCCGGGGGAAAGGACCACTGTCACGTTGGAGCTGACAAGAAGGGACCTCAGCGTTTGGGATGTGGTGACGCATAACTGGGTTGTGCCGGCGCCTGAGGGGCGGTATAAGATTTGGATCGGGGACTCGAGCGATCGGTTGTTCCTTGCATGTTATACGGACTCGGGGGAGTGTGAGGGAGGTCTGGAGAGCCCTGTCTAGGCGCTTGTGAGGATATAAGTAAACAACCTTCGGCAATACATACCACTGATGCTCAGCCTAGCCAAAGATCTGGCTAATTGCTTTATCCAAGGGAATTTACAATATCTCATCCAGACCAGGGGCGACTTGGCCAAAGCCTGTCGACACCTACCAGGCCTGTCTCGCGTGCTGACCACCAGCCCATTCGAGCCAGCTTGCGTGAGTGAAGATCGAACAAAATAGAAGCCCCTTCTCTGTAGCCTTCGGTTTGATATATAACAGGCTCGGGCCCATGTGTCTCTCCCGATTGCACATGGAGCAGTAGTAGTACATTGTCCTAACCTCTAGACCGTCCGATCTCGGCGGACAAAGCCATAATTCCAACCACAATATTTGTCCCGAGAGACTGTATGCACGTTATGATACAATAATGAGACGAAGGTTGACCATTTCAGCCTCGCCTGCCCTCTTTTCCTCCTCGCCGAGAGGTTGGAGAACCCCGTTTTCCGATCTCACTCGGGCACCAGAAAGACCGAGACGAACCCATGTCCCGCCAGAACACAAATCATACACTCTGTGAACATGCGGGCATTCCTCTTTCTTTTCAAGTAGAGCAACCCAGCCTCAACCGGCCCTTGGCCTTCCTCCGCTTGATGATCTTCCTCCCACTTTTGGTCTTCATGCGGCTCACGAAGCCGTGTCGTCGCTTCTGGATGAGGCGGGTGTTACGGTTCATCGTGTTTCGCGGGCCACAACGGATTTGGGACAGAGCCAGGGCGGGATGAGCGGTGATGGACGTCTTGGGGACGAGGTCTGCAGTGATGGAACTGGTGGTGTCTGTGATGGTAGGCGTTGGGAAAGCGGGGGCGAAGGGCGATGCCGTGGGTCTTGCGAAGACGGTTGGACGTGCTGAGAGAGTTGGTCTGAGAGGGACGAAGGAGGAGAAGAGCCTGGATGGGCGTAATTGAACGCGTCAGAACGTGGTCTTGTGACGGAATCGTCGGGCGGGACGAATCTCCAAAGATGGGCAGCGTGGTGGTATGGCTGGAATGGCTGGGATTCCTGGCTTACCGTTTCGAAGAAGAATTGGCGGTCTGTGTAGTAGGCAGCGCAAATGCGCGCCTGGTCACGCTTGCTATAGATTGTCGTATCATGATGGGCAGGGTTGAGATTGTGCTTTCATCTCCCGATCTTCAAACCACAGACACAGGTGAACTGACAGAAAGTGATGAAGCTCCGAGATTTCGCAGTCGCATTACTGCAATCCCGGATAATGCATTCATAATATATGCAGGTATAGTAGCTATTACACAATTGGGGTTCATGCTCCACCAATAACTGGTGCCTAGAATTGTACGGTGTGACGCCACGCACAACGGAGTGGGTACCTTACATTACGTAGATGGGTACGGGGCACATTGCATGGGGACAGGTTGCGACAAAGGTTGAAATGCCTGACCTGCCACTCCTCCCCTCCCTCCTGCAACGTCCATCCTCTCTGCTGCCTCTTTTCATACACAAGACAAGCGTACGGGAATTTCATCATGCTGGATCTTCTGCACCGGCTTGCCCGGTTTCTAGACCGGCCCTTGTTCCCCTGGAAGAAGCTCATCCTAGGCTTCTCCATCGGCCAATACGTCTTCGAGTCGTTCCTCTCTCTGCGCCAGTACCAGGTCCTCCGCCGGACTAAGCCGCCCAGTGTCCTCGAGAAGGAAATATCGCAGGAAACATTCGATAAGAGCCAGGCATACGGTCGCGCCAAGCAAGAGTTTGAAATCATCAACGGGTTATGGAGCCAGATTCAGAATATTGCCTTTGTCCAGCTCGACGTTCTCCCGAAGCTATGGTCTTGGACCGGCGACCTGCTGCTTAAGTACGCGCCGGCGCGCTTCTCTGGGGAAATTTCTCATTCGATTGTGTTCGTCTTGGCCTTCGTCTTCATCCAGCAGATTCTCTCGCTACCCGGATCGATATACCACACCTTTGTTCTGGAAGAGAAATTCGGATTCAACAGGCAGACCCCGAAGCTCTTCGTGACCGACTTGCTCAAGACCAACATGCTTACCGTCGCCCTGGCCCCGCCTTTCCTTGCTGGTTTCCTCTCCATCATTAAGAAGACGGGCAACAAGTTCTTCTTTTGGCTTTGGCTCTTCACCGCTGGTCTCCAGATGTTCATGATGACCATTTACCCTACCCTCATTTTGCCGCTGTTCAACAAGCTGTCCCCGCTTGAGGAGGGCAAGCTGAAGACGCAGGTCGAAGACTTGGCCAAGCGCCTCAAGTTCCCTCTGCACGAGCTCTATGTCATTGATGGTAGCAAACGAAGCGCCCACAGCAATGCCTATTTCTTTGGTCTCCCCTGGAAGAAGCATATCGTCATCTACGACACCCTCATCGAGAAGAGTGAAACGGAAGAGGTTGTCGCCGTTCTTGGTCACGAGCTGGGCCACTGGAGTCTCGGTCACACTACCCGGCTCTTTGGCATCGCTCAGGTAAGCTGCATCCCTTCCCCCCTCCCTCTCCCCCCCTATCTCCCTTTTCAACCGCGTTCCGAAAGAGAAGACAGTAGCTGACACCTGCGGATAGCTTCACTTCATTTACATTTACACACTCTTTTCCGTCTTCATTAACAACCGCTCGCTGTATGCCGACTTTGGCTTCCTGACGGAACATCCCATCATCATCGGCTTCATCCTCTTCTCCGACGCCCTTTCGCCTATGGATACGGTGATCAAGCTGCTCATGAATGTCCTGAGCCGCAAGTACGAGTTCCAGGCTGACGCCTTTGCCCGGAACCTCGGCTACTCCACCGACCTGGCCAAGTCCCTCATCAAGCTGCAGATACAGAACCTCAGCACCATGGACGCCGACTGGGCGTATGCCACCTACCACTTCTCGCACCCGCACCTGTCGGAGCGCCTGAAGGCCCTCGACTGGACCTCGTCGGAAAAAGTGGCAGTCGACGAGCCTTCGGTGGGTAAGACCACTGGCAGAGATGAGCTGTAAGGGAGCGGGCGGACAAAGGGTGGAGTGCTCGATGCAAATGAAGGTGGGTAAAAGAATGGTGTGAGAACACACAAAGGGGGTCGAGTAGACTCCGGTGAGATTCATCCGGGCGGCTGGAATACGTCGCATGTAAGAGTAGAGGCTCAATTCGAGTACTATCCGAATTTATGCACCACAATGATGCGGCTGGTACACGGGCTAAAAGCAACAACGCAATTCCCTCCCATGCGTCACTCCATCATGTCCGAGGTATCCTCAAATTGGCGCGGATTCGCTCGAGCAGCTGCTCTGGCGTAGCCGCGTCACCGGGAAAGAGATTCCTCTGTTTATCTTATGAGCAACGGTCCATCCGCACACAACAATTATGGGGTGGAGGGAATCTCACCGCTGTTAACCATCGTCTCATTTCTTCCCAAGTCCAGTTCTCGGGGTCTCCGGAGGGGTCGGGTTCGGCAGGGAACATGTCACCTCCATAGATGGCCCATACAGCTACGGCTGTTACTAGACCCCCGAACGCTAGAATGAGTTAGTTTCCGAGATGGGAAAGCAAGCGAAGCCTTTATAATTAGAATGATGGCCGTTTCATACCTAAGAGCGCATTCTGTAATACGTGACATGCTAGCGTCAGCAATAGCTCTGTAAATAACTTCCTCCTCGGGTGCAAAGCGAGATTTCAAAGAAGCCAAACAAGCTGGGAACTTGCCTTTGATTTCATCGCGTGGTCTATAGGAGTCGGCATTGTTGGCTTATTTCAGAGAAGCCAGGGGTATGTAGTTATGGTGTTGGTGTAATCGATGTGCACGAAGACGACGAAGTGAGGATATGACAAAAATAGGAAGCGCCCGCTGTTGTCAGCCAACGTAGCTGGATGCCGTATCCAAGTAAGGAATGGCTCTTATGGAAGCTACTTTAGTTTGAGTGGGAAACGGATATGAAGGATCAATATTCGGGACGACTCGAGATGACAAAGGGGTTGTTGGTTAGTTGCCTGATTCAGCGTCGAGGGACGGGGATCAATTGAATGATTGTTGCCTTGCTTTTTGCCACGTGCCTATGACGCGGCTGCAGCATTCCAAGCTGATGCGAGTCAACACATGAACCGGGCTATAATGCCTATCTGTAAGGTAGGTACGTTGTATTTGGTAGTAGCGAACGAGATACGTAGGTGTCTGTCTATGTAAAGATGTTTTCGCGAAGAGTTCCGTTTGTATTAGTGGGGTTGAAGACGAGCTCAATTGAATCTACAAGATCATGTATCTGAACACGGAAACAGCCAAGCCAACACCATTAAGGTACCGTAGGTAAGAAACTAACAACCTGTTTCCCTCTCACCCCCCACTGATTCTCGGCCTTAAATCTAGTGCACCCAAGATGGCAGTTCGTTTTGTGCCATTATGGTAAATTGAAAGGAGAAGAAAAGAAAAGAAAAACCGAAAACGGGAAGAAAAGAAAGAAAGAATAAGAGAAGCGGAGACAAAGCTACCGAAGACGGAAGTCGAGGTCAGGTCCATGGTCGTCGAGGTGAGGGACAAGGTGAGCTCAGCAACTAGACAAATAAGTGGTCCGTGCATCCAACTCATTCTTGGCACCACCACACAAACTGGGAATTTCGCGACCGAAATCCATCCAATATTGTCAAAATATCCCCACGATAGTTGTCTCTTCTCCCCCTCCGTCCTCTTATACATCGCACAGCACCAACTCGCCGCCAAAATGCCTCGCGAAATCGGAGATATCAAGCAGGTGAGTTTAATCCGTTTACATTTCACTATACGTAGTTCTGCCCCCGAGAATGTAGGGACAATTAGCTAACTAGGATCCCTTCGCAGTTCATCGAGATCGCCCGGAGGAAGGACGCTTCCTGTACGATATACCCCCCTCCCCCAAACCCGTCCTAGTGCCCGCGTGTCGCCCCATGCTCCCTTTCTGAATGGGCGGTAAATCGATATGTTCGACATGTACTGCTTCGACCACTGCCTCGATTTCATTGGGAGACGGGAAACGGGAAAGGGATGCAGCGATAATCGAACGATGGAAGACTAACTCGATTATGCAATTCAGCCGCGCGGATCAAGAAGAACAAGAACAACTCCCAGGTCAAGTTCAAGGTCCGGTGCCAGCGCTTCCTCTACACCCTTGTCGTGAAGGATTCCGACAAGGCCGAGAAGCTCAAGCAGAGCCTTCCTCCCCGTACGTTCTCCTCTGCTGGTGTACACCACACTCTCTACGGCGAAACTCGCTTCGTTTCCCCCATGACTCCCTAGACAGGAGCCTGTGGTATCGTGGGTGGGAAGGATGCAACGACGCCGCCGTAGGGACATGAATGCATTCAACTAACGTCGCATTTTCTCTCGCAATACAGAACTCCAGATCAAGGAAGTCGGCAAGAAGAGCAAGGCCAAGTCCTCCTAAACACTAAAAACTGTCGAGGGAAGGAAGTGAAGCCGATGCTTTCTTCGCGTAACCCATGAACTGCGGGAACGAAAAGGGAAAACCACTGTCGTGTACGCACCTTCTGTCGGAACGGCATGGGAAACGACATGGGCATGGGCATGGGCACGGGCATGTGCGTGGACGGTTCATGCGAGGAGAGGATGGCTATGGACCTCATACGAAAAGGGACCTAGAAAAGAATCAAGCATTGATCGATTCATATACAAGCACCGATCGGGGGGGTTCATGTTATTTACGATGGCGTATGGGATGATTAAACGGACAGGGAAAGCCTTTACCTTGCCTGCACAAACCCCCAACAATACATAGGGACGGATTGATGCTCGCGGACTCGGAAGTCTTTTCATTCGAGCCTGATGGGCGGCGATCCAACCGTCGGTCAATGATGCCAACAACAATGGAAGAAGAAAAAAATTACTAAAAGACGAAGGGAGAGAGCTCGGTTCACCATTTTGCATGCGAGTTTTCTCGACGACTACTTTCGCCTCGTACTTGTTCACGGTGGGAGAGCAAGGACAAAAGTTGGGTCGTTGCAAAGTCTGAAAAATCAGTGTCTTTCCATAAAGATCAGAGAGGCTGAACATGCTAATCTAGAATGATGACGCTAGGGAAAAAAGCCCGGACCAAAACAAATCTATCCATCTAGGAACCATCATCCATCATACAGAGAGGCGACGACCCCGTCGTTTCTCGCTTCCCACCCGGGGAGGGAGATGCACACAGTTTGCATCTTTTACAGGACGCGCTTGTAGTGGGCGAAGTTCCAAGAGGTGACAAAGGCCTCGAGCTCCTTCCAGTTGGGGTTGGAGGCGATGGAGCCGTGCTGCTCGATGGAGTCCCAGCCGCCGGCGATGATGAACTCGTCGCCGCCGTTCTCGATCTTCCAGCCGCCCTGGAGCGGGTAGGTGCCGGAGACGGCCTCGACGACGGGGCGGACGCGGTCGAAGGCGGCCTGGAAGTCGGCCTTCTTGTCGGCGGGGATGCCGAGGCGGCCGACGCTCAGGATGGGGGCGGAGATGGCGGTCTTCTGGTCGGCGTTGACCTTAGTGAAGATCTCGGCATCGACGTGGATGTTGGACACTTGCTTGGGGTCGGTGATGTTGAAGAACTCGGCCGTCTTGGCCTGGACGCCCTGGTTGTCCGGGGTGCCAGCCCACTCGAAGTGCTTCTCGACCGAAGGCCACTGGGAGACCAGGAGGATGTTGGAGGGGTCCTCGACCTGCTGGAAGATGCCGGTGCCGCGGGCAGTGCGGTCGGCGGGGAGCGAGGGGTCCAGGCCCAGGACGTACTTGTCCTGGACGGTCTGGCCCTCCTCGAGGGCGGCCTTGAACTCGGCGCTGACCTCAGTGCCTTTGATGGGGAGTGCGGTGAACTCGGTGACGGCCATTGTAAAGTCAGGGTGGTGGTGGTGGTAGTGGTGGTATTGGGTTTAGAAAATGTGAGAGAGTGGTGAGTGGTAGCGAAGTGGCTAGTGAGAGAAGTGTTGTTGTTGTTGTTGTTGTTGTTGTGTTGTGAGGATGTTGTTGTTGATGATGAACTGGAAACCGAACGACGGCGACGTCTTGGGGTTTATATACACGAAATGACGCTCTTATTTCGAATATCTTTTCTTAGATCATACAAACGCATCCTAGAGCTCGGGGTGAGGATGAAGCGAAGGAACATCGTGATGCCAGAACCCCTGCGCAGATTGCGCCCCCAGGTAAACGGATGAGGTGATGGTATCGCGTTCTCCTCGACCCCGCCATATCACCATACCAAGACTATGCCTGTCCATCTGTCCCTCCGCCTCTCCGCCACCTCCTCCTTTACGCGGGACCGCCGGTTCCTGGATGCTTGGGCGCTTTCCGTGTAAGACCGCAAGTCCCCACCACCCAGGACGGGGGCCCATTGCGGAGGAGGCTTAGTTAGTCAGCCCTTGGTTAGGCGGGAACGGTGGAGAGGGGGGAGGGGGGAGGGGGGGTAGAAAAAGGGGTCCATGGTCAACGGAGGGCAACGGATGGATGCGCATGCTGCGCGACTATCCCTCCCCGGAGATTCAATTCATGCATTGCGACGGGAATTTTGGCCCCCAGGATGCATAGAAAGGGAGCCTTACGATGGAAGGAACAGGCCCTGCATTCGTATGGAGTACGTACATACAGGAGGGGTCTTTTGTATGATGAGGATTGTTACAATATGACAAGGTTGTTTCAATGGGACGCCGTAGACTTCCCTAAACGGTCTAGACCTTCCTCAGGGGTTGGTTGGGGGAGGGGGGGGGCAGGGGGGGTTCTTCAGGCGCGATAAAAATAGACCCAAGGGGCGGGGGCGCATTCTCGAAGCTGGATGGCCCGAGCTCGCGGATCGTTTTACCATGTCCATGACCCCTCCATTCCATTTCGGCCTTTGCCAACGCCTCGATTACGGAGTAGTAGGAATAGAGCACAGCTCCCTCAGCACCTTGATAAAATCGGAGAGTTTGTTCCTGGATTAGTCGCTGGAAGCAACGTGGCCAAGGAACACGGCGGCTGTATGGTGGGCTATGGGATGGTTGTTTGGCAATCCCCGCCTCCGTAGCTTCATGTTGACGGTGGGAGGCGGAAATACTAGGACACCCGATCGTGAGGCGAGTAGAGAGACTGCCGTAAGCCGGCGGATGAGTTGGTACGAGCCACGGATACGACGCAACGTCGGTGACTCGGATGTTCCCTTCCTATTGGATTGGCCGCTTTAGCGAAGTCAACAATCAAAATTTCGCGTTTTACTGACGTGAGAAAGAAAGCGTGCTTGCCGGGTTGGTGATCATCGTGATTCGTTCGTCCGTCCCCCCCAATACCTTAGACCCTCGAATGAGGAATGTTTACGGAGGAGTGACACAGCCTGACTGCATGGTACCTGAATCCACCCCCCCAAAAGCTACGGACCGCAATGCAAATCCTAGCACTAAGAGACGAATAGATTGGTGTTTCATCTCCGGATCCGACGATGGAGCTCGGATGTGATCCTGAGGGTGGGGAGAGCTAAGTCGAGTGTGACCACTATTACCACCACCACCAAAGGGGCATCAAGAGGAGGTGAGAGAGAAAACGGGAGAACCACCTGGAGGGTTGCCACCTTCTCACCAGTAGGAGCTGTTGCTTGTGCATAGGACGGACGCAGAGGAGGCAATTGGACTCAATGGCTGGTCCACGGAGCTTTGAGTAAGCCGTGGCCTGTAGATGCGTGAACAAGCAAAGAACGAGCATGAGCACGAGCACGGCGACGAGCAGAAGCACCCGAATTACTCGATTTAGGCAGGAGTGTGGCGAAGGCGAGCTCGAGTGAACCCCGCATGTCCTCGAAGGATCAAGAGCTCGGAGCTTTCGACAGAGGAATAGGAATAGAGGGAAAAGAAGAACCATTAACGGTTGAGTGGGAGGGAAGAAGGAGGAGGCCCCGTGTCGATGCCGTCAGCATTGGCATCACCCCATAGATGCCTTAAGTACGTACCTTAACATAAGGTGTATAGATGACTTACTTGTAGGTAAAGGTAAGGACGTAAGACGTAGACACCAGAGGCTTCAGCCATAACGTACTAACCGTGTCAGCCCCTGCTTTCGTTCCTCCTGAAACGAGTCCTGGCCCTAAGCTACTGCAGTCATCATGAATAAGAATGCTTGTTATGAACTTGTTTCCATATGGTGTTCTTGCCGAGACTTGGCTACCTCAAAGTCACTATGCGGAAGGTATGGGGAGAGAGGTTCTATCTTCGGATTATACCAATAGTATGTCCTCCTTGCTATTTCTATTAAAGAAAAATAATAAAAAGACGGCAAGAGGGGAAAAGAATAAAGGAGAAAGAAAAAAAAAGAAAAAACAATAAAAACATACAACACCGGGTATTCGCTGGTGGTCACCCACCCAACTACTAATCCGGCCCTCACTGGCTTATCTAGGGGAGAGCGGACGGGATCCCGAGTTTTCCAGTGGGTATGGTCGTATGTGATAGTACTTCAGAATAGATGCTCTTATAAAGCCACCAGAAAACGAACGGCAACAGTCTGGCATACCTCCTGGCTGTGAGCTTTGTTCTAAATGCACATTTTTCTGGGCGTGGGTATCTTATATAAATGTCACAGCGCCTATATGAATAAATTGTCAAGACGAGCAGGAGATTTCCGAGAAAACAAGATCACCATCTGTATGCTCTAGTGGTGTGTCTAGCCGTCACTATTGTTTCTTCTTCGGAGGTGATATGGGGTTTCGAAACCGGTGTTGTCGGTTAACCTTGCCGGAGATGAGATGCGCATTTGGAGATTTTGGCCTTCAATGAGGTGGCTCAAACGCCGCGTCTCCATAAGAGCAGGTCCCGACTGTGGCGATGTTGCTTCGAGGTTGACGATGTTTTCTTTGTGTTCTTTTTGCCCTTTCTAGTGGTCTCTCCGTCACTACCTTACACCCGCCTCCAACTCTCCTTGTACCTCGACCATCTCCGAAATCCTGAGAGAAACGTGGCTATCAGTATTTGAGAGCCTGGAGGACATGTGAGCTGGGGCAATGGGATCTCACCAAGAGATTGAAACCCCTCATCTCCGCCTCTCACTCCGTCAAGGAACATCCGTTTCATGCCCTTGTGGCTTAATAGTTTGATGCAGGTATCTAGTAACCTGACCATTATAGAGTCTCTGCTGTTCACCACTTCCGGATTATTATCTATCACAGGAAGATATGGTCAGCAAACCGAGCTAGAGGAGAACGGGAAGTCCCTCGTGAGAGACAACTCACCTACGATGCACACACAGGTCACGCCGCCGACATCGCTGCCCAACGTTCTCGCCCACGGCAAGTCGTCTAATATGGGACTTCCCGATGTGGGCGTGTATACGATGGCCACGGACACGATGATGTCGCCTTCGAGGCCCAAAATGACGTCTTCTAAATGCATCGTGTTCCCCAACTTCGCATATTGATCGTACCATCCCACGTTACCTTTGCGTATCGAGTCCCGGTCTACCGCTTCCAACACCTGGCTGAAGTGGGTCACGGGGCATGGGCGGAATGTGAGCCCGGCCGTCGATAACTCCTTGCCAGGCACCTCGTCAAAGCTCAGCAGCCAGTCCGAAATGCCCGGCGGTCGCCTCGGAGACCTCTGGTCCATCTCCCACCCTCGCCGCCGAAACCAGTCTTCCGATGCCGTCATGTCGGAAGGCACGCCGTAAAGTAACCGTGGGAACGTCGACCCGAGTTGCAGGCGGTCCACTCCCCGTGTCCTTTGGAGCTGCTTCAACGCCATCTCGTGTAGACTCTCCCCGATGCCGCGGCCCCGATAACCTTCTCGAACGAGCAGCACGGCCAAGGAACCGACGAGCCTGTCTGAACTGCTGTCGGGGTACGTCGTGTAGGTCGCGCAAAACCCGAGGAGTTGCCGCGTGTCGGGATCGCGAACCGCGTAGTGCATCGCGTACCCTTCGCGTCGGAGAAGTGAACCGAGCACGCCCTGTGGCAGATGAAACCGGCGAGGGAGGCATTCCGTCCAGAGCTCATGGGTCGCCGCCAAGTCGCGGTTCAGATCCCACGTCTCCACTGTCCAGCTGCGCGGTGCTACGCTCAGCTCCGGCATGCGCGTCGCGGACTGCGGCAACGTCCCGACGCCAGGGCCAGTCCCGAACATGATTTCCGCGGCCTTCTCGAGCTCTGGAGGCGTGAAGCCGGCGATTTGGATAATGGTGGCGAACCTGTACAGCCGCCCGAGGTCGTAAGCGCGGACGTCGCAGCAGGCCAAGATGACTTGGGGCCGATCGCCTCCGACTGAAGCGGCGATTTCGGCGTAGTCGGCCTGCGACGGCTCGTTGTCCCCAGGTGGCCCGGAGATTACGAACACGATGACCTTTCCCCTTTTAATGAAGGCTGCATGGGTGCCCGTGATGCCGCCCCGTTTCGTGTAGGGCACATGGCGAACGAGTGGGTGGTGTAGGGCAATGGCCCGTCCCAAGGGCTCGAAGGGGTCTCTAGACTCTGCAGGCTGGTGGGCCGAAGGCACAACGACAGGAGTCAGAAGAATGATCAAGTCGTCTGGGGAGAGAAGCCGTTGCAGAGGGATGGACTCCTGACGATCCCACAAGAGGACAGCAGTTGCCATTGGAGCAGAGTGTCAAGTATCGCGACCGTGGCTGGCAAATGCATGACCCCAGAAATCCCCAGATCACGACTCCCGAGTTCTGCACGGCTCTCTTAGCTATAGCGTAACGTCAAAAAGTATCATGGGGCGAGGTGATCGAGCCAACGCTCCCAGGTCCCGCTGCGGACGCTGGGCTGAGGTAGACCCCGGATGAAACACAGCCCTATCGGGAGACCTTGATGGTCTGCCGTAGCTGAGGTATGATTGGGCACGGCAATAGTGCTGTGCGTGTCTACCGAGAATTGGCGAAAACCGCTGTGCGCGATGGCAACGTCACAAGGGAGGGAGGGCTGCCTGTGGAAGTGGAGCTTGAGGTTTTGTCGGGGGAGAGGAGGGCGGCGTCCGGAGTAAAAGACAACCTCGTTGAGACAAGAGCGGCTTCAGAATGATATCTGCACAATTCAGTCTGATAGTCGCAGAAATGTCAGCCGTACGTGTTCCCTCGAGAGGCATTGGCAGGGGGGGAAAAATGGGAAACGGGGGCAGAAGAGACTGAAGTCCTCTAATAATAAGCGGCCGGGGAAGCGTCCACAGGAAAAATTGCTCAGAGTGGTGTTGTTTTGGGATAAAAAAATACACGATCATACAGCTCAGCTCACTCATAAACAGGAGAAGATTCAAGAGATAAGCTCCAAGAAGACATGAGGATGAGCCCCCCCCCCCCCCCCCCCCCCGGGGTCTCCGCCCCCGACTCCGTCTGGCACTGACGGATGGGAATAGTTAATCAGTCAGGAATGGAGGGGCTTTTCGCAACGATAGGTTACACAAAGGTTCGATGAGAGTCGATGAGATGTTATGGGACGAGGGCACACAGGTTGACAGGTGATACAAAGAGGATTAGCCTATGCGGCACTTGGCTTGGGCGTGGAGGCAAGAAGACAGCAACAGACAGGGGGAGGGTGGCTTGGGCTAACAGAACCGGGGATTAAGCCAGGAAATAAGGCGTCGCCGGGGTCATCCGAATCCCCGGCCGACATTGGGGTACACAGACAACGGGAACAGGCTCTTCGGTTGGTTGTGATGGCTGAAGAATCTTGCCCTGCCCTGGGAAAGAGACGGAAACGAAGAGCAAAAAAGATAGGGGGAAAAAGGGGGCAAAGAAAAAGAAAAAGAAGAAAGAAACCCACTTACCAAGTCGCTTTTATAGCGGTATGTGAGGCACTATTCCGACCCGGTTTTGCTGAATAAGGTACAATAGCGAAGCAAAAGATGTCGACGTACGTAGTGGCTCCAATCTGCGATGTGGTGCGTAGTACGGAGTACGTTGTAGACGCCGAGCGATGAGTTGGGCACGAGCACGAGGTAGCTAATAGCGCAAAAGTGATTGCAGAGTCATGGTCTCAGGTCTCTCGGGTCTCTCGGGTCTCTCGGGGCAGGATATGCTCGAGGCTAGAAGTACACTCCATGGACAGTCGTCATGTCGCTTGGAGGGGAGAAAATGTGTAGGTATGAAGTGGATAAGCTCTTATAGGCATGTAGCACAAACCTGCAAGATCAAGTAAGGGGTTGCGTCGCAGCAAGGATAATATGGTCTGAAAAGCGGGAGAAAGAGGCGGTAACGCAGCATCGAGGGAACGACGGAGGCGAGCAGGCGGAAATGCGCAAAAAGTGCGCAACGTGAGCTTCTCGGGTGAGAGGTTGGAGGTTACGGACAGTCGGACAGTCGGACAGTCGGACGAGGGGCTCGTCGTTGTTAATGTCGTCCCATCCGGCTCTGCTAGGGTTTATGGCTTATGGTTGTTCTGCAGAAGCCTAATTGGGCCCTGGTAGGTAACACAGCAGGAGGTTGCTCTTATTACAACATACACTTGTTTCACCGCGTCTTCCTCGGCCACAGCGGGTCTTCCGGCTCTCGTTCCCTAACGCTAACGCGTGACTGTGACAGGGGTGTCTTATTTATGTGTACTTCGTAAGGTATGAAGTACTCCGTATTCGCAATCAATCACGAATAGTACCTATGCGGGAAAGCTAGATTCGGTACTGACTGACACGGGAAGTCCGAACTGACCAGGGACAAGAAACCACCCGAGGAGACAGGCTGGGACTTGATCCCCGAGGGTCTGGACATGTACGAAGTAGTTATCTGTAGGCCGGTTGGAAACAGAACAGAAGAAGAAATATAGCTGCTCCGTAGGTCGTCTAGGAAAATAAGGCCGAGTATGAATGTACGTTGTATATACAGATACGGATACGAATGGATGGGAATGGTAATTAAATCCGGGTCGGGTACCTAGGTAGTAAATACCTAATTACCGCAATTCCTGACCCATCAAGGGCGTGCCGGGCCGTCGGCCAACTGATTGTTGGCGGCG